TTGGTACAGGAAAACATTATTAGAGTCAGAACTACCAACTTTAAGAGATGTTTTAAGATATGGTCTCTTTTTTAGAAGGATTGAAGAAAAAAACCAAAATTTAAGGGTAACTTCTGAAAAATTGTGGACCTCAGTAAAATATTTATGGTAAAAAGCTAATCCACTTATACCCAATATCTCTGATAAAAGAGGAATAGAAAGAATCATATATGACTGGAAAAAAGCATATAATCTGGCGTTAGGTAGGGGAACATCTAAGCAACTTTCTGATCATAAATTAATCTCAAATAAACTGTTTGACAGTGTTAATGTTCAATAAAATCATGCGAAAAATCTGATTGTTATGGCTGCAACCAAGTTTTTCATATTGTTTGCAAATGTTCTCAGGAAAATAAAATTCCTATTATTGAACTTAAATTTTTAAAGTCACAGAGGGATAAAGTTGGTTCTAAAAGTGGAATGCAAATAGGTTCAGTTGATAAAAAAGAAGTATCCAGACAAAAAAAATACCATCAAAGAAAGCAGAACAAATCAAAGAGAGTTAAGATTGAGACTGTACAGTATTCTGATGTATTATCTCAAAATGATGTGGAGTCAGACAATGCTTAGAATGATTATAATGACAATCTTTATTTACCAGAAATAAAAAAAGTTTCTCAGCTAAATACCTTAAATGTAAATCATATCGCTTTATCAGCATTACGATTTGGTACAAGTAACAGAGCAACTGCATCAATAGGCACTGCAACATTAAAAGCAGCCAAAGATGCAGGTTTTTTGAAAGATCATATACTTGATAAACACTTAGCTCTGGATCATAAAAAAATTGAGAGATCAAAGCAAAGAGTAACGAATGTCTGTAAAGAGAGACATAATAATGAAGTAAAGAGAGAAGACATACAATGTATAATGTTTGATGGTAGAAAAGACCTTACTAAAACAGTTGTATATGACAATGGTGGTAAATCTTACCCTAGGGAGATCAAAGAAGATCATTATAGTGTGGTATATCAATAGCACATGGCATTAAAAACCAATTAGTTGCAATTGGAGGAGATTCAACCAACCTTAACACAGGTTTTATTTTTATTTCTTTAAATAGTAGTTAAAAATTTTATGTACTTCTTTTTTTTTTACTGAAAATAAAAATTTATTTATAGGGTGGAATTATTCAATTTTTAGAGAAAAAACTAGGATTCAAACTTATCTGGATTATTTGTGCGCTACATACCAACAAATTGCCACTTAGGCATTTAATGTTAGCTTTAGATGGAAAAACTTTATCTGAAAATAGATTCTCAGGAAACATCGGAAAACTTATTAACATAGCAACAAATCTTCCTATTTTGACATGCATCCCTCAGCTTGATTTTGTTGTAGACATAATTCATCTCAAGAAGGAAGTTGTAGATTTACTGTCTACAGATCAGAAGTATTTATACAGAATACATAATGCAATAGCATCAGGTGTTTTTCCTGATGACTTGAAGGAGATTCAAATTGGTCCACACAATCATTCAAGATGGTTAAATCTCGCAAATAGACTACTTCGAATCTGTTGCTCAGAGCATGGTTTAAAAAACAAAGATCTGCAAAACTTGAAATTGTTAACAGAGTTCATCATGGGTGTTTATTCGGGTGTTTACTTATCTTAGGTGTTTATTCGATTATGTGGTTTGATCTTAAGGTAAGAAACTTAGTTATGTAAATAAAGATATAATACAATAATTTACTTAAATACTATAATTTACTTTAATAATTATAGTATTTATAGTAATAAAAACAATTGTGATTATGCTAAAGAAAAGTAATTGACTTTTGACTAAACATAGCTGGATTCAAGGTCCACATCATATCCTTAAGCAACTAGCCTTTGTAAAAAAACAGAACAAGTTTGTGAGGAATATTGTATTACCACATGTCTGCTCCTCTGCCTGGAATGCACACAGTGAATGTATTCTTCAGACAATGCTCTGTAGTTCAGATGAAGGAGAAAGGAGATTTGCAGTGCAGAAAATAATTGATGTTAGAAAAAATAAGGATGTTGGAGACAGAAAATACAGGAATAGAAGAATACCAGTGATAAACACTGAATCAAATAATCTAATAGATTTAATCAATTGGGAAACAGAGGAGATCAGTGAACCGGTTCTTACTTGTTGTTTGATGAGAGATGATATTATACAGTTTATTAATAATCCAATGGTTGTACCAAACTTCCCTATTCACGGTCAATCTATTGAACGCATTGTGAAAAAGGTCACCAGGGCTTCAATGTCGGTGTGTGGTGTCAAGAGAAGAGATGGGTTCATAAGGGCTACAATAGCTCATAGAGAGCTGATGCCTGTGTGCCAATCAAAAAAAGATCTGATGAAAATTTTGTAATCAGTATTTTAACTTTTTATTATGAGTAAACAATTTATTTTAGAAAAATATGCGGAAAATGCTGTTATCAATATTTTAATGTCTTATTACGTGTATAGACTTGATGTACCATAAAATTTTAATTTTTAATGTAACTTTAATATATTATTGATGTAACTAGGTTAACTAAGGCTCAGGAATCTTTTTAGACTTTATTGAGTAGTAGCAAACCATTTTTCATAACTTTGCATAAACGATATATTTATGATAAAACTTAAATTTTCAGACCAAAAATTACCTGACTAAACATTAAATGCAAATAAAAAAAAAATTGGTTCTTATTATCATACGGTCAAAAATCCCAGCCAAACCTAAATTCAAAAATTTTTCAAAAGTTACCCATCCTAATATATATACGCAATGCATGTGATGAATAAAATTGTCCAGTGCAATATTTCCGTCTTGTAAAACTGAAACACGTTATCAATGAGCTTGATTATGCAGCATCAAGTCTTCAAGTCTGATATTCAGGGTTTAAAATTGTTTGCCACGAGGTCATCCATACCCAGGTATAGGGAGGATAAATTAAGAAATTTGTACTCTTTATATAAAAGCATTGACCTTCAAACTTCTAGTGTCTGGCGATTGCGTACTTAGGATGTGAGATTCGTTTTTGCGTGGATTTTCCATTTGTGTGCAACTAACTTTTCATTAAAATTGTTATAATTCAATGCTGTATTGAAATGTATACACACAAAATTTATTTCTTCTACACCAAAATCTTTCTCTGCAGTCCAGAGGATCAATGTTCTGAGGTTTTCCAGTTCTGAGGATTAATGAATTGCATGGCTTTATAGATAGGTTCTTACATAATGCTACTAAATCTACTGGTTAATATTTTGATCATAATAATCAAATTAACATTTCTCTCAATATTTCTCACAAAATGTCTTATCTATGTGTACAGAAGTAATATCTAAGTTTATTATTTATATGTTCTGTTACTAGAGTGTTTACATTTGTCCCCAGGTTTATCAAACTCTCCAGTTAGTGTTCTAGGTAAGGTTTTATTTGATGATTGCCATAACTAACCATGTAATGTGATTCATAACTATCCAAAAGTTTTTAATTTGTATCAATTTCTTCTAGCTTTAATTCAAGTACTAAATTTGTTTGTTTGATTGTTGCTAAATTATTGTGTGACAATAATTCATTTGTTTCAAATACCTTAGATGCTGGCACAATGAGCTTTAGCAAATCATTTTAAATGCCAACAGTGCAAAGAAAATCATATGACTTGAATTGCTTTAATGACCCTGAAACCTTTGCAATTGTAGTTGCAGCATTTTTTTTTTTCATACATGTATTTTTCATAGGCCACTATAAAAGCTTTTTGATGTTTTTCCAACATATTTTTGATGTTGAAACCACATGATGTATTTCTGGGTAACCTAGGAAATATAATTTCAGGATGTTCCCATTATCCTGTTATAAGTTTCCTAGAAATTACATCTTACCTAAAGCTGCAGATGCACTTATTACTTCTTGTTTTGTTTTTCCAGAATTTCAAAGTATTTAGAAATTTGTATTGTAGAATTAAATTTTTCAATTTCCGTTAAATTGAAAAGTTTTAATGAGTTTGTTCTATAATAATGCCATTGCAATGAATTGCAAAAAATTCATTCTGTTCAATAATAAACAATTTAAGACAGAAATAATAATACTGTCATTGCAATACATCTATCATAATGTCATTGCAATGAATTTGTTTTATAATAATGTCATTGCAATGAATTTGCAATGAATTGCAAAAAATTCATTATGATGAATTTGTGTCTACTAGCAATGTTTTTGGTACGCTTGATCGTTCTAACGTCGTTCATTTTACAGCTTTTTACCTAAATAATTATTGTACATAATTTGTTATACTGTTACTCAATTAAAGGTTAGATTTTCAAAGTAATCTGTAAAATTTACTGATTTGAAAACCAGTAGTAAACATATCCTTACAATAATACTAAAATGTTTGCGGCATAGTTGGTTGAAGAGCCATTTCATAGGATTAGTTGACAAGTCAAGTATATGCATCATGTGTTGATACCTTTAAAGTAGATGGTACCTTTAAAGAAGTATTGAAAATTTATGTAGTATCTTTAAAAAAAAATCAGAAAATCAACACAATGTTTTTATTTTAGCTGCCCTAGAAAGGTGTGGCTTCAAATTTTCGTGTTTTCTTTCTATTATTACCTTTGAGGAGTTTATATTTATTCCGCCAGTTGACATATTTTATGGCACTAAGATAAGATGCTTTCTCTAAGTGCCTTTAAATTGTGGAGCTTGTTACAAAGTTTTTTTAATAAACACAATTTTTTTTTTTATTAATCCTTTACAATCTTTTAAAACATTTTCCCTATTTCTTGCACAAACTTTCCAATATATTTCTGTTACATGCGTAATGCCGTTGATAACTTCTTTTTTGTAATTTATTACCTGATCCACCTTCCATTTACTAAAAAAAGTTTTTTTAGTAAATGGAATTATGATTATTTGTAAATATAATAATATTCTATATATTAAATATTGATGTTAATTTTACTTAAATATTTGTTTGTACAAAGGTTGTTTTTTTTTTTCAGGGTCTGTATGCCATGTCAATGAATTTGATGTCAGATGCAGAAGTACATTTTAAGAAAGCCTTGAATGTAATTTTTTCACTTTTTCATTTGAAATAAATACTTATAAATTTATAGAAAAGTTTTGGACCAATTATAAAACACAAAAATGCATCTTGTTTACTAGGTTTTTTCTTGGTGTTTTTGAGTTTATCGAGTGTTAAAAATTTTTTGAATTTTTTCTAAATCTTTTTAAAAACTACTTCTAATTTGTTACTCTTTATTTGCATAATTTATTTTGTCTGTAAATGGAGCTAGCATCTTCAATTTATCGTTGGTCAAATGTTTTACTTTTTTTGTAAAAAAAAATTTAAGATAATTTTGAATAATGTAATTGCAATAGAAATTTTGTAATTTTTATGTAACGTAAGTTACATAAAAAATACACAATAAAGTTTTTTTTTTCCAAAAGTTTCATTTAAAAACTGAATTTTTTAATTAATATATGAGTGTTGATATTAAATCTTATGTTTCTATATTTAAAGTTTTCAATAAAGATGTTTTACTTAAAGCACATTTTAATTTTGAATTTGTGTAATGAAGTTAAAACTTTGTGAATTTATCTAAAAGTTTCAACACATTTATAAAAATGTTTTTATTTGCCTGATAAAGAAGTAATATTTAAAATTTGCTCTTAGTCTCTGAAAAAAAATGCTTTTGATTATAAAATTTTGATAAAAAAATCTATTAGTAACAGAGCGACTAATTATTTGTGCGCAATAGCCACACATGGTTTTACTGAACTTACTAATGACTTAATATGGGTTTGGCTACTTTTTCAACTGCCACAAGCAATAAACTGATTTTCTGTAAATTATCAGCTCAACAGTATTTTTTTGTTGCAGAGATATGAGTTCATTTCAGAGGAAATTTCCTCTTTAATAATTGTACAGTAGCGTAAGTTAAGATAAGTATTTATTTTTATTTTATTTCAATTCACCTTCCCAAGTCCATGAAGGCCACTACAGTTGAGGAGGCTACTTTAGTTGTGGGTACAATCCTCTCTCAACTCTATAACTACAAAACACAAACCTTGACAAATATGGTAGCTACTACTGCAGTTATTACTGCACCACTACTGCAGTTATTACAGCAGAAGTATGGTTTCAAGATAACATATTTATAATATATATAATATATTTTCCTAAGTCATTCACTTCTAATAAAAATTTTTTTATTTTTATATGAAGAATTGAATTAACAACATCTTGTAAAAATTTTCAATAAGATTCTTAATACCATTTTGCAGAATTTTTTCCTTAAACTTGAAACATTTTTTACTTGGTTTTTCTGCTTAAGTTAAATGACATGTTTGGTCATAAGTTTGCTATATAATTGTCAGAATCAGCTTATTTTTATAACTCTTTTTTTTTTTTAACAATTTAAAGTTTCTTTTAAGCAAAAAGTTACTTAAAAAATTGATATTAATATTGGATTTTTTGTTATGACCATCACGGTTACCAAAAAAAAAAACATAAAAATGCTTGTAAAACTTCAATTTAAAACTATGAAACCCAGCATATGATATTATCAATATGTGCTAAATATACACACCAAATGATTTTTTTTTACCGTGTTGTTCGCTGCATTAAGTCTGACAAAGTTGTTTTGCTCAGAAATGGTAAAAAGTAAACGTTATGACTGTCATGCTATCTAGAGTTAATTTTTGAAAAAAAGTTAAAGACTTTAATGCTGTAACTTTTGCATACTAAATTATATAATAGTATTTCACATTTCTGAAAAGTTGCAAGTCAATTCTGTTTTTTGGTTCATTTTTAACAGCTTAAAGAGTGTCAATTGTTATGACCGCCGCTCTTGCAGAATTGCCCATATATATATATATATATATATATATATATATATATATATATATATATATATATATATATATATATATATATATATATATATATATATATATATATATATATATATATATATATATATACATATGTATATATATATATACATATGTATATATATATATATATATATATATATATATATATATATACATATGTATATATATATATACATATGTATATATATATATGTATATATATATATATATATATATATATATATATATATATATATATATATATATATGTATATATATATATATATATATGTATATATATATATATATATATGTATATATATATATATATATGTATATATATATATATATATATATGTATATATATATATATATATAACTTTCGGAATTAGGAAAAATGAAGTCGGCAATATATTGCCGACCTCATTTTTCCTAATTCCGAAGGTTATATATATATATATATATACACATATATATATATATATATATATATATATATATATATATATATATATATATATATATATATATATATATATATATTACATACATATATATACACAATTTGTATTATATATATATATATATATATATATATATATATATATATATATATATATATATATATATATATATATATATATATATATATATATATATATATATAATACAATTTGTATTAAATAATTTTTGCTGACCTGATATATATATATATATATATATATATATATATATATATATATATATATGCATATATATATATGCATATATATATATATATATATATATATATATATATATATATATATATATATATATATATATATATATATATATATATACTTCTTTCACACTTTTTGAAGTTGTTTATAAAATTATATTGCAAATACAATAAAAATATTAAAAAGAAATAAAATGAATAACTTAATGGCCCTCTAGAGCCTGGGCTTAATGAAATTTATTAAATGAATAGCTTAATTGCCCTCAGAACTAGGAAAAACAAGGTCAGCAATAATTTGCCAACCTTAATCTTTTAAAGGTTGGCATTAGGTTAGCAAACCTTGACCTTGTTTCTATGTTTTATGATAAAACCTTTGTATCAAAAAAATTTGATACAAAGGTTTTATAAAACATAGAAACAAGGTCAACTTTGCCCAATGCCGAACCTAATTATTCTACTGCTGACTTTAACTGTTTATTGTTATAACGACAATGTTCTATTTTACATAAAATGAATAAGAAAAATGTTATCTTTTTTGCTTTCTGCTAACTTTTTTCTCTTAACTTTCAGTTTAAATGGTGTTTGCTTATTAGGAGTGGATTTGTTTAACAATATGTATATATATTTAACTTTTGGCATCATTTTTAACTTGGAAATTGTAAAATTTTTATTTTGTAGCTTTCTCATAACCAATGTGATACCTATTACCTTGCTGCTATCAGCTTAGCAATAGTTTATATTAGATTTGGTGCTCAACAAGCAATACCTGTAAGTATCACTTATTTAAGTGACCATGATATTAATCAAATAATACAGCTATAAGTAAAGTTTAAACGAGGGTGTAATTTTAAGAACAAATCTTTGGCTTTTCTTTAATAAAAATGTAACAGAAAAAGATATTAAAATAATTTTTCCCCATTCGGTAACTAGGTTTTCTGATAAAAAATAAATAAAAAAAGTAGGTTTCGACGAAGTGATCTCTTGGAAATTTGATTAATAGATAGATGTGAGAAATTAATTGGTGTCATAAAAGTTTAAACTAGTTTATTAAAATTCAATTATTTGTTAAGTAATTAATTAATCCGTTGTGAAAATTGTTTTAAAACATAAACATAAGTAGATTGAGTGGTTTTCAGTCAATAAAAATCGTCACAACATTATTCAACAGCTTCATATTCAACAAAAATCAACTGAACTCATTGCAAATTTCAAACAATTTCAAATTGCGTGCAAATGGGGCGAAAACCAGTTTCAAGTGAGATCAAATGGCAAATTATTGGTATGTCTAAGTCAAAAATTCACAGCAATCTTCAAATAGGTAAAAAACTTGGGGTTTCTGAATCTTGCTTACGAAAAACAGTCAAAACCTGGAAGCTTACCAAGGACATTGAAAATGTCACATGACTTAGCAGACATGCCGTTGACATGCCGCGTTCCGGGAGACCATCGAAGCTTAGTGACCATGAAAAAAGTAGCATATTCAGAAGCTGCAGAGAGAATCCTAGGGACAGCTACAAAAAGCTAGCACAAATCTTCAACGAGTCGAAAAATAAACATAATTTAAGCAGAGAGCTCGTTAGGCGAACATTGCTGCAAAAAGGCATTGGAACATACATTGCAGCAAGAAAACCTATTTTATCAATCATGGACCGACGTAAACAGCGAATATAGTCAAAAGAAAAAGTAAGCTGGACTGTTGAAGACTGGTTAAAAGTTATTTGGAGTGATGAAGCTAGTTTTCAAGTTGTAAACCGCAAGGTAAGACTATATGTCAAAAGATTTGCAACGAAGAAATATTCAGAACGGTTTTTGCAACCACGTTGACAAGGCGGTGGAGGTTCCATTGGTATTTGGGGATGTTTTTCTTACAAAGGTATCCGTATGTGTGAGCTGTGCGAAGGCCGAATAAATCAGTACACCTACAAAAATACATTGGAAACGTGTTTAATTCCATCAATCAGACAGTTGTATGGTAGAAGCAAGCAATTTATTATTCAACAAGACGGGCTCCAGATCATACAGCTAAATCAATCAAAGAATATTTTTAGCAGAAAAAGATAATTGTGATCCCTTGGTGCCCTAGATCACCAGATCTCAACCCAATTAAAAATAATTGGTCTTGGATTGACAATCAACTTACTTATTACCAAATACAATCAACTGAGCACTTAAAGCAACTTTTGAATGAGTACTGGTTGAAGGTACCTCGAGAGATGTGCATGAAATAAGTTGAATCGATGCAGAAACGAGTTTACCTTTGCTATAAAAACAAAGGCGGACATTTTAAATATTAACTTGGCATTTTATTTCCATTTTTTATTTGTTTGTAAAATTTCGTTTAAACTTTTGTGCTACTCATTTTTCACATGTTTATGTTTGTAATTAAATTTTTTTAAATTTATATAAATCATTTCATAACAAGTTCACATTTATTCTTTTTTTATTCAAAAAATTAAGTCGACATCATTTTTATTTATTTTTTTATTAAGAAAAAAATAAACCTACTTGATCAAAATTACACTCTCGTTTAAACTTTTTTGAATAGCTGTATGATCATGAAATAAAAACTTTTTTTTTTTTTTTTTTTTTTTTTTTAACTTTTTTTTAAAAAACTTTTAAAAAAAAAAAACTTTTACTATCTACAAGAAAAAATATATTGCTTAATAAAAAATATTTAAAAATTTAGTTCAAAGAACTTCTTCACACATTTAATGAAAAAGCTGTTACAAGGTAAAAAGATTTTCAATATGCTATTTTTTTTTTAATAGTTTCTTTATAGTTCTTTTTATTTTTATATTTTTTACTTTTTATTATTAGTTATATTATTATTAGAGAAGTAAAATCTTTTTATATATTTTTTTAAAATATAAGTAAGACAACAGCAAATAAGTAAGACAACAGCAGATAATTTGATATTCTAAAAGCATTATATCTCACTAATCCAGTTGTTTTGAAGCAAATAGTTGGAAGATGCTCCTTTGCACCATTAGAAATCGATTAGGCCGCTGACCTTGATTAAATTTAAGACCTTTCAAATTTTAAATAATTTTTGTAAATTTTTGAGTTAAAAAAAGTTGATGAGTTAAAAAGAAGTAATATTAAAAGTGCAGTAAAATTTAAATCCAAATAAATTATGCAGCTTATTATTTAACCATATAAATTAAAGTTTATCAAACCAAATAAATTATGCTTCAATGGTAAAACATTTTTTTTAACCTTAAATAATGAGATGTAGTAGTTGTGGCAGTATAAAATGACTAGTAAATTTTAAAATATAATTAAATAAATAAATTGGGCCTTACATATATAAATACTAATTATATAATGTTTAATACAATAAATCTTAATACAAAATCAATATTTGTGAATGATTAGTTGAAGTTTTGTGAAAATGATATTAATTTATGTGCCTGTTGAATACTAGATTATAAAAGTAAGGATTTTTAGACAATGTAAAATTCTTTACTAACTACCACTAGCCTAATTACTTATATACAATCTTTATAATTATATTAAAAGTATAAGCATATACACACTTTTGACAGTTATTTTAATAAAATTTTTTGTTATATTGGTTTTACAGGTCCAAAGTCATTCGCTCTGCATACTTTTATATGCAAGGACTAAAGATGTTCTTTTATTCTAAATTGGAAGAATCAAAGTATGTTAATTGTTTAATGACTACAAATCTTGTTTGATGCATTTTGATTTTTTAAATAAAGTCTGCACATAAATGCATTTATGTAAATACATGCATTTATGTAAATACTTGCATAAATGCATGTATTTTTCTAAATACTATTATAAATGCTATTTTGCATTGTTATATTTTGGTTACAATTTTCAAATAATTTAGACAAACCTTGTTGAAACACTTATCATATAATTATTTTAATAAAATATGGTGGGTGTGATAAGTAATAAGGTGTCGAAAGGTAGAGAAATTAGATTGTTGTTGGTGTTGAAAATTTATTTTTATGATAGTATTTTGTTTTATAGTTTTTTTTTTTTTTTTTCGTTGAAGGCTTTTTTTAATGGAAAGTTTAAGAATCAGTAACACAGAAGATTTATCACGCATGACAGCTTGCTCATTGATGCTGCTAAGTCATGTGACATTTGCTATGGGAAATCCACAAGTAAATATAGTTAATTTTTATTTTGGATATAAATTAAAAAGTTTTACTTTATAAAAACATCATAAGAGTAAAAAGCTTTAATATTAAGAGAATCGTGTCTAAAAAATGCAGCAATTAATTTTTTTGAAAAGTTTTAAAAAAACACATTTTCATTAACCTGCTGGTTTATATGTTTTGATGCGGTCTATATGTATAAGAGAGGGTATAAGTTATTTAATTCTTTAATGATCTCAAAGCCTCTGTTGGTCCATATTGTTATGCTTTTTTATTTTTTTTATTTTTTTATTGTTATGCTAATTACTCATTTTTATTTCTGGTGATTTTAATAGACAAAAACAAGGTTTGGAATCATACAAAGGCAGCATCTTTATGTCTGGAAACATAAAGGAATCAGCTAATCAACTATATAAAAATTTAAAAAAATTCTAGAACTAAAAACACTATGTGGTACAATATCAATAACAAAAAGATTTATTCGTTCAACTTTATTTATAAACTTCACCAAGTATTTATTTAAAAAAATGCATATAATATTTTGTGACACTGTTTGAAATGACATACATAAACCAGATATAAGAAATTTATTCATAAAAATGCAAAACTTAACTTTTTCAAAATTTCTTTTTCTGGAAAATTTACTAAAAAATGTGCTTGACTTTATATAAATATAATGATGACTTCAAATATTTATCAAAGTCAGCAATTATTCAATTTGCAAAAAATTAAATCAAATAAAATTTTATCAAAGTATTAAATAATGTTGATCTCAAATTATCAGATGAAGAAGCCAATAATAACCTGAAGACACAGTTACAACAATCAATAACAAAGATGGTATCATTCCAACCCAAAATTAGTAGTTCTGATCCATTTTCAGAGATATTAAAGGTGTTTAAGCTGTTTAAAGTAAGTGAACAGCAAATTTAAATAAGATTGATGTTGCTCTTAAAACAATTCAGTCAACATCCATCGAAAGAACATTTTCTGTTGCTCTTAAAACAATTCAACATCCATCGAAAGAACGTTTTCTGTTGCTCTTAAAACAATTCAGTCAACATCCATCGAAAGAACATTTTCTGTTGCTCTTAAAACAATTCAGTCAACATCCATCGAAAGAACATTTTCTGTTGCTCTTAAAACAATTCAACATCCATCAAAAGAACATTTTCTGTTGCTCTTAAAACAATTCAACATCCATCAAAAGAACATTTTCTGTTGCTCTTAAAACAATTCAACATCCATTGAAAGAACATTTTCTGTTGCTCTTAAAACAATTCAACATCCATTGAAAGAACATTTTCTGTTGCTCTTAAAACAATTCAACATCCATCGAAAGAACATTTTCTGTTGCTCTTAAAACAATTCAGTCAACATCCATCGAAAGAACATTTTCTGTTGCTCTTAAAACAATTCAACATCCATCAAAAGAACATTTTCTGTTGCTCTTAAAACAATTCAGTCAACATCCATCGAAAGAACATTTTCTGTTGCTCTTAAAACAATTCAACATCCATCGAAAGAACATTTTCTGTTGCTCTTAAAACAATTCAGTCAACATCCATTGAAAGAACATTTTCTGTTGCTGGTAACTTCACAACTTTGAAGCCGAATGAATTTCGATATATTAAATGCATTAATATTTTTTAAATGATTTTCTTTTGGAAAATTAATTTATTGAGTTAATACTACTTAAATATTTTAAATACTGAAAAGTAAAATAAATAGGAAATGTAAAAAAAAATCTGTAAAAAATTTTTTTTAATAAAGTTTTCTTAATGATTTGGTTTTTTAATTTGGTTTTTTAAACTTTTTAAATATTTTTATAAATATACAGCTATACCCGTTTATACTGGTATTGAACTATTTTGAATACTAAAAACTTTTAATTTTAATTTTCCGATATTTCTGAAACTCTACTAATGTTTATTCAAGAAATGAACACAACTTGTCTTGGCACTTGTAGAATCCTTTAAGTTTAATACTGTCTCAATCTGGCACTAACACAAAAGTATTACTATCACTGCAATTTAAATAATTTATAATCTATTTACTTTTAGCATTTTGAAAATAGTAGATTTCTTAATATAAACACTTGTTACAAGCAAAATAGCATTCAAATAAATAAGATAAATAAAAAAAAATAAAAAAAATAAAGATAAATGGATTAACCCTTTTAAGTTATTCACTCTTCTAAATATCCACTTTCATCCAATAAACAATAATTAAAGTTATTGTTTATTTATTTGAATAGAAAATTTTTATATACAATTAGCTTTTTTTAATTAAAATAATTATTTTGAATAAAAGGTTCAGATATTAAAAGAACAACTATACACTAAAAAATTTATTTGAATTTCTAACAAATATTGTTTTTTATTTTTTTATTTTATCAAATATTAGGAAACTATTAGCAAGGTTGTTCCAGCTATGCAGTTGGCAAACAAAATTCCAGATATTTATTTACAACTCTGGGGCTCTTCTTTGTTAAAAGTTAAGTATTTTAATTTTTTCATTATATGGATATGTTAAAATCAATAATTTTATAGGTTTATTTATTGTGTACCCTTTATTTTTTTAATTCACTTTTTTAATGTAATGTTTATTTGTTATTACTTTATTTATAAGTTAATTTATGTTATTACTTTGTTTATAAGTTAAATCTTTTAATTCTTTTTTAGTTTACTTAAAAAAATTAAAAGGTTTTCTGTTTGGTACATCTTTAGATTAAATCTTATTAAACGCTTTATAAGTCTTTGATCTTGTTGTAGAAATGTACTTGTATGTAGAAACAATAGTTTCTATATATAAGAATTAAGATGAGCTCAGGCACCAGCTTTTTTTATCAAACTTTGTTTCAGTCTCAATCAGATATCAGCTTTAGTTTTTATTATATTAAAAATAATATAAAACTAATCCAAAAAATAACATAAAACTAATAGCTCTATGTTAATTTTTTTTCTTTAGTGGTAAAATTATGTAAGGTCAGTTTTATTAAACTTGACTTGTTATGACTTTTTTCTTTAATAGATTGCTATAGTTTGACCAATGATGTTGTTCGATATGAAGAAGGATCTCAGCTTCACAGTAAATGTACTACTCAACTTCTTCAAGGTTTTATTACAAAAACATTTTTTAATTTTTTCATATTACTTAATTAAATTTTTTTTTTTTTATCAATACATATTTCAACTGATTGTTGAAATATGTATTAATATGTTTATGTTGAGTCGGGATAGCTCAGTTGGTTAAAGCGCTGCTATAAAGTTTGGAATAATTATTGGCCGTTGCAGCAGGATTGCAGGTTCAAATCCCGGCTCCGCCTACTCAGTGTATGAGTAGTACGAAGGGAACTCGTCTTGATTAGCTCTGCTATTACGATGTTTTCTTCTCGACTAGTAAATAAATAATCTAGTTAAGTAAAAGAAAGAAAAAATAATCATAAAAAAAATAAAATAATTGTAATAAAAAAAGTGAAATAATATTATTGACATTAAATGTTTTTAATAACTTTTAACTTTTTTTTATTCCGATTGCAGATCATTATACAGCTGTATCACAGCCTGAACATAATTTATTGAAAGTAAGTTTTGTTTTCAATTCTTTACAATTTTTTTTAAGTTATTCATTTAAGAATAAGTAGAAAGCAGGATTAGTTGAGCATAGCTAGATCTTTTTTTAAATAATTTAAGTTTTATTTTTTTGACTCAACAGTTCTGAGACTGTTTTTGTGTTTGACTTGATAACTTTAAGATTTCCTTACAGTTTGATTTAACTCAACATCTCTGAGGTGACAACTTGATTTGACTCAACAGCTCTAAGGGTTGACTTGGTTTGACTTGGTTTGACTTAACAAAGCCTGAGGTTAATTGAACAATATGATTATACAACTAAAGATCTATTCTTTAAGTTTTTTTATTTAATTTTTTTTATTTTAGGATTTTATTTGATGTCAATGAAAATGGTTATCAATAAATCCCTGAAGATTTATGCTTAAAACTCTTTGGATTTTTCTTCAAAAAGTTTTTAACATTTGTATTCTTGTAATAGTTGATTGGTTTGCAAACATTTTAAAATTGTTTTAAATTTAAAGTCATAAATATGGGTTAGTTTGCAAACATTTTCATATTGTTTTAAATTTTAAGTTGTAAATATTGGTTTGCAAACATTTGTATTGTTATTATTAAATGAAAAGGAAGTTGTGACGTGAAAATAAAATAAGAACTTTTTTTTTTTTTGTTATGGAAACTGTTAAGTTATTTATTCTAGATAATCCAAACAAGTCTAGTATCTTCAGAATTATTTTAAGAATTTTTATATATACATTTGCAGTATGACAGGTTTCTGTTTAAAGTTTTTCTTATCTAATGCAAAGTTTTAAAAATAGTTTCTGGTAAACAGTTTTGTATATTGTTATATTTTTTTCACTATTTTACTCTGCTTTAAGTAAATTTCATTGTTGTGATTTTTTGTTACTGAAAAAAAATCATCAAACAAAATATATAAGATCAGCGATGAATTTGTTACATTTTTAAATAGACCTAAAAAGGAAAGTGTTGTTGGTGGTTTATATATCATTGTTTGATTTTTTGTATATAAAGTTGTATATTGATCTTTTATATATAAAAGTAAAATGCTTTATTTACTAATAATTTCTCAAATTGTTGGGTTGTATACACTTGATAATGGATTGGCAAGGACTCCACCAAGTAAGTCTAAATTTCAAAATTCAAATTTCATTGATGTTTACAAAAATTGGTTTTACAATAAATTTTATTTATAGTGGGTTGGTTGCAATGGGAAAGATTTCGATGTATTATTGATTGTGAAACATATCCTGATCAGTGTATTAGGTTTGCTCACTAATTTGTTTAAATTCCAAAAATAAAAGTTATGTAAACTATAGTTTCAACTTATTTCATGGAGGAAAATACTTTTGAATATATATATATATATATATATATATATATATATATATATATATATTTTTTTTTTTTTTTTTTTTTTTTTTCTCAATATAATATGAACTGTTGTATAATTTTTAAATTGTATGTTTAAAAATGGATTTCTTTTTAGTGAAAATCTTTTCAAGCGCACAGCAGACAAGTTGGTTTCAGATGGGTATGCCAAACTAGGATACAAATATGTCAATATTGATGTAAATTTTGTTTATTTGAGTTTGTTATTTTTATTGTGGAAGTTGAAAAAAAAAATTTTAATTGATAACCAAACCAAAATCCTCAGTCGATGTAATTGCACTCCTTACATATTCTAACTATTTATCAGCTGATCGCAGCTTTCCTTGCCTTTTCCTTTCCAGCTCTACCTATTTGTTACTCCATGAATGTGAATAGTAAAAAAAAAAAAAAAGAGTAAAAATGTTCAGAATGGTTTTATTTTTTATTAAATAAAAAAAAATTTGGCAATTGTCTAACTTACCCTGTTTTCTTAATTTACATAACAGTTTTTGAAATTTAGTAGTGAATGTGGGTGTTGGGTCGTAATCATTAACTTTACTATTTTTTATTTGTTCCTCTAATTTATCTTTTGCTTCGTTTTCGTATAATAAAGCAAAACCTGCTCCTTTATCAAATGGATATATCTTTAGATGTGAATGTTTTTTTAGATTTTGTAAAGAAAAGCGTTGTTGTTGTTGTTGTTTTGTTATCTTTTAGTTTTAATTTTAAAGAACTAGTTAGGATTTTCAAACAGTTTTGTCGAATAAAATTTTACATCTAAACAATTAGATAAGCAATTTGTTAAACTACCTTGGATACCTATTATTGGCCTTAAACTCCGAAGAGAATTTAGAAAACAAAACATTAGAGTTATATTTACTTTAGCCCCCAATTTAAATAACATACTATGCAATAACAAAACAAAACTACCTCCGAACCCAATTCTGGGTGTTTACGAGCTTTAATGCTCATGCGGAAGTATATATATATATTGGTGAGACCAAAAAGAAAATCTCTTCAAGAAGTGCGGAACACCAAAGAGCCTGTAAAAATCAAAAATGGTTGAGTTCAGGAGCATAACAAAGAGATGTCAAATTAGCTAACAGTTTTTTTGATTTTAATGTTTTGAAAATTTTAGGTTGGGGAAGAGGGGAACGATTTTGTAGTAAATAATGTGTACATACGCATACTCAGTGTAGTTAAGGCAATATAAAAGGTGTATACGCATACTCAGTGTAGTTAAGGCAATTTTAAAGTATTATAGCGTCTGTATGATATTTTGTTGACTACGACATTTCCGTTAAATGATCAGGTCTGTGAATTATGAAAAGATGAAAAAAAAAATTAAAAGATAAATTTGGCGGTATCATAAAATATAAATGTTTATAGCTAAAAAACCCAGACAGAAGGTTCTTTTTTTAAAAAAAAAAATTGGTTGTCCAAATTTTGATAAGATTTTAAATAAATACATTTTTTAGGTGAAATGAACATTTTAGTTTAACAATATGATCTGTTCTGATTGTTTATTGGCAATTTTTCTTAATTTTAAGCTTTTTCATGGTCTAGTATTTTATTTAATTCTAGTATTTTTTGTGAAAATTGATAGAAATATTGTGTTTTGACAATTATATATAGTTAATATACATCAGAACCGATTAGAACTAGGATCAATAGTAAATTAAGAAACTTTTTCAAAAGAATTTAACTAAATTCATGTTAACGCTGATGAGCAGAAATGATGTAAAGACTCAAAAATGGTGTTCTTCAGATTCACTATTGCGGGTAGTAAAAAGGTTTTGAAAATTATATAAGAAAAGCAAAGTTTCTTTGAATATTAAAAAAATCTGAAGCAAAAAAAGTTATATCATGTAAATCTCTTGTTTGGATGTAATACGTTGATAAAACCATGCTAATTCCAAAAAAAAAATATTCGAACAATTTGTAAATTGTTATAACTACACAGAGTAGGGGGAATCTAAATACAACATAATCTAAAATTTTAATTAAGAACTTTTTATTCAGTATAGTTATTAAAAGTAATCATGCAAATGAACATTGAGTTATTTTATATCTATTTTTAAAGAACGTTTTAGAAATTTGTAGTCTAAATTGTTTGTGGTTTGATGTTTTATAACTCTAAATTGTTGTTAAATTAAATTGTGTCATTAATTACATATTACTTTATTCAATCTTTCAATCATTGTAAATCAGGTTCATTCATTCATTGATGCCCATATATGCATATAAATGAAATAAATTGTTCAACACATCCATAGTTATAAAAACTTATTCAACACATGATTATTGATTATAAAAACTAATTCAACACATCCATGATTATAAAAACTTATTATTTAATAACTTAATACTGTTTTATTATTAGGCTTTATTTATTTTTTTTTAATTTTTTTAGGATTGTTGGCCAGAACTTCAGCGTGATTTAGATGGCAATTTAGTTGCAGATAAAAAAAGATTCCCTAACGGAATTAAAGCTCTAGCTGACTATGTATGATGTTTGTTATTTACATTACTACGTGTGTGTTAATTTTTTTAGTTATAATAATTTATATTTATATATTTTTATGATAAAAGTATACTTTTTTTTTTTAGATTCATAATCATGGTTTAAAGATGGGTATTTATACAGGTTAAAACAATATATAACTATATGTAACATATATATAATATATACAATATATAACTTATATAAAATATATACAGTATATAGCTTATATATAATATATGCAATATATAGCTTATCAATAATATTATCAGTCAGAACCCTTAAAACAGTCCATGTTAGGTTTATTTCTCTCATATGACCACAACACAACCACAACCTTTTAACATTGTTGTATCATTTAATCATTAAATTTACTTTAAAATAAGTAAAAATTTTCAAAAGACTCATTCAAAAGTTTTATGATAATAAAAATATTTTTATAATTAGAAAAAGCTAATTATTAATTTTAGTAATCTAATAACAAAGATCAAATAGTTACAAATATACTAGTATTCTATTCCTAATTATTTGCATAATTTATTTTATGAAATTTTATTTGGAAAAAATGGATGTCAATTTAATTATTTGTATTATGAAAGAACTTAAGCGCAAAGTTGGTAGATAAAACTCTATTAATTTATTTTCTTTTTTACTTAATTAATTTATTGTTTTAATGTAAAATTGATTCCTCTCTATTATTAAAAAAACTACTGCAATATATCGGATTTCTTTCAATATATTGGATTTCTTTCAATATTTCGGATTTCTTTCAACATCTCTACATAGTTATAGAAATAATAAAAATAGCCATCATTATTTCTAAAAAAAAAAAGTCCTCTGAATCAAGAAAAAATCATAAAAGATAGCAAAAAAACTCATAAGCTGCCAATCAAAAAAATATTCTATAAAATGTTTCAATCATTTTATTTTTTTTAGCTAAGAACAAGCAGTATTAAAAAAGCAATATTAAAAAATGAGTCTAAATAAAAAATGAGTCTAAATAAAAAATGAGTCTAAATATTCTGTCATCTTTATTGCATTGATATTTTTTTATATATAAAATTCAATTATGGTAATTATGTAATTTTTAATCATAATTTTATTGTTATGCGTTAATAATTTAATGAGATTTAATGTTATATAATCTAGAAAAAAATATATGTTATTTAAGGCACTCAACTGAATCCAATGGGTTTAGTATGCAAATTTATTCTGTAATATTTATTAAGAGTAATATTGTATATTTGGTAATATTATGTTATAATATTTCCTAGAAAAAAAGTACATGGTGCATTTATTATCATGTACTGTGTAAATCATAGCTGAGTGATATGGAAATAATAAAATAAAGGAAAGATTGAAAGTCATTATGTAGAAAGTAGACTGACACATTTATAATATATTTAATACTAACACATTCATATAGTAAGCATCTTTCAAACAGTATTTTTGTTGATTATCAAATACTATTTTTTGTCTATCAAACAATAGCTTTTTGTTGTCTATCAAACAATATTTTTGTTATCTATTAAACAACATGTGAAATAAACTAATAATCTATATAGTGAAATGTCTGTCAAACAATTTTTAAACTGAAATACAATGTGAATATTGTATAATATTCCTTAAATGTTGTAGCTGGAAGTTGTTGAAATGTTGGTAAATGTACAAGCGAATGACCGTATGTAATGGTAAACCGTTACAGTACTTTACAAAATATTTTCATTTGTTTATTCATGAGTTTTTATTAATGTTTTTGAACTTGTTTTTTGTTTTTCATTAACATTTCAAATAAAGTCTTCCAAGCTAGAGCTATTCTATTTGTTAAGTATTATGTCTAACCAAATTTAGAATTTTAGAATTATGTCTAACTCAATTAATACAAATCTTCTTATCTTATGCATAAATTTTTTATGCATCTGGTTACATAATTGCTTTAATTTTCATTCTTATTACAACTAAATATAGCTGACTGTAATTTAGGCAATAATAACATTAAACTAAGGCTAGTTTTAATCATTTTTTGTGAATAAAATGTTTTCAAATAAAAACTTTGTAAACTTTGCAATTGTCATTTAAATACTTTTTATATAGTAAACATTGTTTTATTTTTATTATTTTTTTATATTTTTATATATTTATATACCACTTTTTTATTAAAGATTTTGGAACATTGACTTGTGGAGGTTACCCTGCTAGTATTTTTCACATGCAAAAAGACACTCAGGTGATTAGGGTTAACTTATATATTCCAACTTAATATATTGAAAAAACTTAATATATTGAAAATAAATAAATTTATGAGAAGTGTAGATTTAAAATAAAAAATAAAGTGGATAAAGACTTAAATCATTTACTTTTTTTAGATTTTTTCAAATTGGGGAGTGGATATGGTTAAACTTGATGGTTGTTATGCGTGTGAGAGTTTATATGCTGATGGTTATAAAGCATTTGGATGGTATATGAATCAAACAGAAAGACCAATGCTTTATTCTTGCAGTTGGCCCGCATATGTTGAAAAAAATAAAGTATGAACCTTGTGATTTTTTATTTTTTTAAAAATTATAAATTTGAATATTACAAAGTAGTGTAGTAAAAAGAATTGTTATTAATTTAAATCAATAAAAAACATAAAAAACATATTTATATATATAATTATATATTATATATATATATATAATTATATATATATATATATATATATATATAAAATATAATTTATAAAATTATACAATTATATATATATAACATATATAAAATACAATTTATAAAATTATATATACAAAATATAATTTCACATACAGTATTTCTTTACCTTTAGTGATCAATATTAAAAACACTATATAGTCTTAAAAGTTATTATATTGTCTAAAAATGTATTACATTAGGGTGGTCCATTTTTAATTTTTTTGAAAATTTAACTAGAGTTTTTACCAGTAATGACATTTTATCTAGATATGTTAAATACCAAAATTTTTCGAAATATATTTTAAATTTAGGATGATTTTTAGATTCCTCACAAAATATTGGAATTTCAAGTAATGGGTTATGCAAGTGTCGCACAATGTTTTTATTCACTGATTGTTATCCACTGTTATTGTTTCTAATGGGGTTCACACAATTTAATTGTTAATTACTAAGGAATAATTCTAAGTTTTTTAATTTATGACTTTTACTTATCCACAGATGTTGCATAACTTAAATCAGTTTAGTTACTCTCATTCCAGTACTTTTCAAACATTTAAATCTCGATACTTTTGTTCCATTGCATTTAGTATTGTGAAATGGCATTTAAGGAAGTCATTAAGTCTTAAATTCTTAATTTTCTTAACGCAAAAATGATTCTAAAAAAAATGCCGCACCGTTAGAAAGAATAAGTTACTACAGCTAATTTATAAAGTTTTTAATGAATCTTCTTCAATATTCTTTTAATGTTACAAAGTTTATATCTAAATGTATAGTTACTTATCGTGTTTGTATTACAAGCTTCGGTCTTGAATTAAATGACAGCAATGGCTCCCATTCTAAAAAAGGTTGGTAGACCTAGTAAAAGTCTAGGAAATATTGTATCTATTGATACAGAAGAGACAGTTCTCAGATCAGAAAAAAAACGTTTTTGTTTAAATCATTGATTGTTATTTTAAATTAAATAGTGGTTTGCTGAAAAATTATCATTTTGAGAGAGACAACTAGATAAGAAACAAGATTGATTGCAAGTCATCTAATTAGCAATATCATCAAAAACCTTTGGTTACCTGCTCGAATTCCAATGAAGTCTAACAGCAAGGACTGTGTTGATCAAATTGTCTGTTTAGTAACAGAGCATAAGACACTCAAAAAAAGTTGTGAAAATAGAATACGAGAAAAAAAAAGTATAGCAAAAAACTACACCTTTTACATTGAAACTGGACAGTCGATGATCACAGTCTGACAGTCTTGACAGTCTGTTTGATGTATCACTTGCAGACACTTAAACATTGCTGAAACACTCTAGTAACTATGAGTGGCTTATTGATAATGAATTCCTAAAAAGCTAACAAAAGACTAGTCTGTGAGTTTTATAGAAAAAGAAATGAGTCAGGAACTTATGAACTTACCAAGACCTAGAGTATTCACTCCTATACCAAAGCCTCAGATTATTATTTGACATGATTAAAAAAAAAAAAAAAAAAAAATTTTTTTATAGTCTTTCATCGCTGAAAAGTCATGGTTGCTTTTTAAACAGACCCGAAGAATAGCTAAACATTTCCTCAGAGTATTAGAACAAAGTCAACGACTTCAACATCGCAAAAAAGTTTGGTATGCTTGTGTCAATGGTGTTGCAGAGCGAGGTAACAAGCTTCTAGGAAACATCATTTACAAATGTTTTGATCCAGTACTGAGAGAACAACTTTCTCAAGTTGTGGAAAAGCAACAAAAAAGCAATAAAGGAGCATGTTATTCAAAGAAATCAATTGAAATAAATTTTCAATAAACAAAAAAATTTCAGTATTAAGATTAATTGTATTTCAGTATCGTGATTAATTGTATTTCAGTATCATGATTAATTGTATATTTATAATTGTAATAGTTAAATTGTGTGAACCCCACTAAGAAACAATAGCAATTAGTGTATAAAAATATTGCACAACATTAGCCCAATCCGTTATTCTAGCTTTAAATGTTTTGTGAGGAATCTAAAAATTGTCCTTAATTCAAAGTTTGTATTTACAGTCTTTCACAGAAAGACATGCGATTGCATGTCTTTATATGACCAGGCAAATTACATTTTGCTTTGAGGATCGAGGCTATTTCAAAAAACATTATAAAAGCACACTAATATGAAAATATTCTGAACTATACCTTATGTAAAATAAATTACATTAAAACTTTTAAAGGGATCCCTAAGTGCTCCTAACATATGATCTCATATGAAAGAGCATAAAAAAAAAATATGTAAGTTTTTTTTCTTTTTCCCTAAATTTTAATAATAAATGCATGCTAACAAAAAGCAATTGCCGAAATCATTAAAAAACAACTCCATTTTGATTTTATTTTTTCACCATTGAAACTTGATTGTTAGTCGTTAAAAATCACGTTAGTACATCACAACAACTTTAGAATATCTACTTCGATTTTCAAGTAAAAAAAAGTCGTGATTAAATAGTTAAGTTTTAATCAAGTTTTTTAAATTAGTTTTGCAAAAACAGTATAATAGCATTCGGTTGAAAGACGTCGTTAAAAAAAAGTTATTATGTAATAGTTTTAAATAGTTTAGAACTTATAAAAAAGTCTTACATGGCTCGTATTAAGCGTATCGCGATCGCGATTGCTACACACACTTTTGTGATTAGTTTTTTCTTAAAAAAAATCTTTTCGCGACTTGTTTTTTTTTTTTGGTTGATTAATTACTTTTTTCTAGCTTAGCATTTTTTTTAGCAATTCTCCAAAGTAATGTTTTTATCATAAAGAACGTCACACAAAATTTTTTATTCTGAATAGATAATTTGCTCTTTCGCGCGGAGATTTTCTTTCAACGTAAAACATTTTTGAATTTAAATTACATTAAATCTCTGTGTGGAAAATTTTTACAAGGTCGTTAAAGCAAAAAGTTGAAAAGTTGGTTTTTATCTTAGTTTATCAAAACTTCATGTTTAAAATAATGCATAAAAACGTTAGAGCAAAAAAAATACTGACTTTTATTTGCATTTTTATACTGTTTGAAAAAAAAAACTAATAAAAAAGAAATAATATATAATTGTTTATTAATATATTATTAGTTAATTCTTTTTTATTAGTTTTTTTTTTCAAACAGTATAAAAATGCTAATAAAAACCAGCAATTTTTTTACTTTAACGTTTTTAAGCCTTATTTTAAACATGAAGTATAATTCGATTTATTAAACCAAATTTTTTTGTTTTATCTTTTATTGGTTTAAAAACATCAACCATTTAAATGAAAAACTTAATTATATTTAAACTTTTATTAGTCCTTTATTCAAGAAACAATAAATTATAAAAAACTTGGTATCTAATTTTTTATTAAATTTTTGACGATGTTTTTTGATTTATTGACGATAATTTTTTCCCCCCATTACCGTACATCAGCGCGAGCTATAAAAGAGAGGGGAGGGGGGGAAGAGAGCTATAAGAGAGAGGGGGAAGGGGAGAGAGCAAAAAAAAAAAAATTTTTTTTTGCGATTAGATTTTTTTGCATATTCGAGCCCTGTCTTAGTTTAATTTCTAATAAAATGTCTATTCAACCTTATCAATTTGAACCAAAAAAATATAGCAATTCAACATAAATGTTAATTTAACTAAAACATTTTACAATCATTGTTTTTTTTATCAAGCAAAAATGAGTGTAACCGCCACTTTTGAAACCATAAAAATTACTGAAATAAATTTATTTTTTTACTAAGGAAATATTTTAAATAAACTTTCATATGTCTAAGTCAATATTCATTTGTTTTTAATTGACTAAAAAGAGTTTAAAATTTGACTTCTATTCATTTTTAGCCGTGGAATTGCCCTTAGAACACAAATATATAAATTAATATTATAAAAAAAAATTTAATATACAAATATATTTTCACAAAATGCTACAAAACTTATTCTTGTAAGTAATTATGTGTTAGTTGAAAAAAAATAACTTTACTTTTAAATTTAATTACCAATTAATAAGTTTGCAATAATGACATTTTGTCTACTTTGTTTAATTTGACGTATTAACGTTAGTTTTTTGAGGCAGTAGAGTCAATAAACTTTGGACTAGGCGCATTTTCTTTATTCGATGAAAAGCATTTTTTTGAAAATTAAATTTGTTAGTTCATTATTACGTTTTAGAAAAAATAATATACATCAAACATTTTTTTTTTTAATGCTCTATCATATGAGATCATATCTTTATAGCACTTAGGGATCCCTTTAACAAATGTTTTTATATTAGCGAAACACTTTTAAATAAAGTAACAATTAACTTGAAAAAATTTTTTACAGTGTAATTGACAGTTGTATATATTTTTTTAATTTATAATATATAAATTGTTTAAGTGTGCATTTTTTCTAATAAACATTATTAAAAAATTAAAAAATCGTTTTGTTTTTATAAACGATAACATTCTACGACAACGTCTCTAACGAATTTTAATATAAGAATAATTTAAGTTAATACATTTGAAAAGATAAACAAAATTTCATTGAAAATAAAATGATAAATGTTGTAGAAAGCCGTTACAATTAAATAAGTTAAATGCTTTTATGTGATTGAAATGCTTTTTAATGAAGTAACAAACCACTTTTAATGAATTTTTATAATAAGTATTAATAAACTGTTGTTTTTGTGTATACGCTTGATAAGTTTTTTTTTAGTTGGCTTATTTATATATATATATATATATATATATATATATATATATATATATATATATAGGCGGTAGTGGTGTAGTGGTAGAGCGCTCGCTTCATAAACGAGTGGTTCCGAGTTCGATCCCCACCACGTCCCTGGTAGTACCGCGCTCAACTCGTTTCTCCGCGCAGCGGCCTTGTTCGTCAAGGTTCGTGTTTCGGAGTTATAGAGTTGAGAGAGGGTTATAGCCACGAATAAGTAGCCTCCTCGTCTGTAGTGGCCTTCTCGGCCTTGAGGAGGTAAATTAAAATAAAAATATATATATATATATATTTATATATATATATATATATATATATATAACTTTGCAACCTATTCCATATTGTGCTCTCTCCCATCTTCATGTTTTCCTGACTCATACAACCTTAAACTTTTCAAGTCTTCTGTCAACCGTTTCCTTGCTCTATAACTCTGTTCTTTTTTTTTTCCTAGTAACTCCCAACTTAATAGTGGTTGCTTGCAGCCTTGTTGGGAGTGAATGCAAATTAAAAAAAAAAAAAAAGAGGTCCACCTGGGCCGGTCAATATAGAGGCTCTAAATTTAGATTATAAATTTGTGATATTATGGTAAATTGGCTTTCTATCGTGCAGTCTTGTCTATTATTTTAGTTTCATATTCGCCATAATCAATAATCATATAACAATATGAACATGATTCTTTATATAGTGTTATATTAGTGTGTTGGTATTGTTATATTATCCAGTTATCAGCTTAGTGTGTTGGCAATGTTGTCAATGAGTATATTTAGTTATTAATAGCTCTTGATATCTACTTATTGTAATATTGTTATTGTATCGGCCGCCACCCAACGGCCAGTACACATACACACATGTGTATGGATATACTAAGCACTTCAACATCTGAGAACATTAATGGTTTTAAAAATCATCATCTGTCCTTAAAGTATTTGATCCAGAGCAATAAACTTATAGTTATATTTTGACATTAAGTGGAGGCTGTTGATGTGAATATTTTCTTTTACTGTGGTATGAAATCCAAAAGTATATCCAAACAATTTAGCCACTATCATAAATATAAACAAATCATTAAACTTATTTACTGTTTTTTATAAAATCATCTAATAAAGAAAAATTAAATTAATTACAAGATAATAAATAAAGGAGGCATTTATAAAGAATTAATTTAGTTTGTTTTGCTTGAATTATTTCATATTTAATTTGTTCATTGGTTTCAGATAATACAAATAAACACAAATTATTCAAATTTGATGAAATCCACAATAAGCAGAGCTGTTTGATTTGAGTATATAAAATAGTATATTCTCTAAACATGCAATGTTTCTGCATACAGTAAATTATGAATGGCATATGAATACTTTTTAACTTTGTCTGTAACTGAAGTTAACTGTGAGAGATCATTTAGCAAACTTAAGATTATAAAATCCCATCTTTGTTCCAGTTTATGTCAAGAAAACTTAGAAGCACTAATTGTTGTGTCTCTTGAAAGACAACTATTATAACACATTGAAATATCTGAAATTGTAGAGTGTCTTTTAAAACAGTTCAAGTTTAATGTATAAAATGTTATCCTAAATTGATATTATATGTTGTTCTTAAATAATAAATTGTAAATTTTTTTTTTACCTACCTACATTGATTTATTTTCCTCATATTAAAGTAGTAATTAAACAATTTTACTATTTGCCTATATGAGGAATTATCATTTATTTTATATTACAAACAATAGCTTTGGCATAAACATAGTTAATAATCAATAGAGCTAAAAATATTACTAATACTACAATTTTGGTGGGGCTGCAATATTTAAATTAGAAAAAAATTAGGAAACTGGCATATTTTTTTAATAGGAGGGGGAAGCACGACAGCATCTCTATATTTACACCTATGGTAATAAAGATATTATTATACTTTTGGGCTGGTATATTTCATTGGGCTGAAATACTCCCAGTCCGCCCCTGGATACTGGGATAAAAGTGGATATATGTAATGTTAGGTCTCAAAAGAAGCATAATTATATAAAATTTTTAAAAATAACAATCATTTTATAAAAAAATTATTATTTTAGAGTTTTTTTGCAAAAAAAAGAACCTTTTTAACCTAAAAATGAAAAAAGTGTACTTTTTCGATAATTGTTTTAAAAAAAATCTTTAATAAAATTTTTTTTATAAAATGATTGTTATTTTTAAAATTTTTATATAATTTTGCTTCTTTTGAGACCCAATGTGGCATACTTTTGAAAAACTTTTTTTTATATAATATTAGGGAACTGGTAAGTATTCAAGAGTCTGGTGCTTCCCCTGAATCCAATAAAAATTTGAAAAAATTTAAAAAAGTTGCTTGTGAGAACCAATAGAAGGTTTTAAGTATATGAAATGATCTTTTTTAGAATATAAGGGGTGGATGTCACACCCGTATATATATATATATATATATATATATATATATATATATATATATATATATATATATATATATATATATATATATATATATATATATAAATACATATATATGTGCTTCATTTAATTGTTTATTGTTTTTTACTTTATTTAAATGATGTCCATTTCTTTAAATTTTTAGCCTTATGCTGATATTGCTGATCACTGCAATATTTGGAGAAATTGGGATGACATTCAGGTTATAAACTTTTTTTAACAATTTGTTAAATTCAACAGATATGCCAATGCGGCAAAGATAGTTATTTATTAGGAAAGTTATAAAAAAATGACTTACTAACTTTCTGTTTCTTTAAATTTTACTTTCAGTTGGTCTGTAGCACAGATATATATATATATATATATATATATATATATATATATATATATATATATATATATATATATATATATATATATATATATATATATATATATATATATATATATATATATATATATATAAATATATATATATATATATATATATATATATATATATATATATATATATATATATATATTTACATTGAAAATCTGTTTTCTAATGTTAAGTTAAATAAATAGCGTACATTACTTTAATAGGAAATAAATATTAACATTCAGTGTCTCTATATATCAGATTTAATATTACATTCAGTGTCTTTATATGCCAGATAAAATACCTTTGGAAAATTTGGTTTTGCATAGAATTAATTATACCAAGTTTTTTAAAGATTTTGTTATGCTTGTAGGATTCTTGGGATAGCGTATTGAGTATCATAAACTACAATGGAGATCATCAAGATGAAATAATTCCTTATGTTGCTCCTGGCAAGTTTAATGATATTGATATGGTAAAAAATTTTGGTTTGTGTGTGTTTATGTGTGTATATATATATATATATATATATATATATATATATATATATATATATATATATATATATATATATATATATATATATATATATATATATATATATATATGTATGTATATATATATATATATATATATATATATATATATATATATATATACATATACATATATATATATATATATATATATATATATATATATATATATATATATATATATATATATATATATATATATATATATGTTTCACCATCAGTAGATTCATCAGGCTTTCTGATGAACCTACTGACGGTGAAAAATGCTGTTGAAGACAACTAAAAAGTAGATAAGTGCTCTTACTAATTAATTATTGCTCTGTTCTTTAAGAAAATTGAACACTCTGTAGAATACACTAACATAATTTATATATATATATATATATATATTTTTTTTTTTTTTTTTTTTTTTTTTTTTTTTTTTTTTTCTTCCAGCTATATACATATATTGCTGGAAGAATAAAAAAGAAATATTATCCCATCTAATTGTTGTTTTGTTAAGGGAGGTATTAAATGATGGCAAGATGAGATTCTGCCTCACTCTGAGTACTGTGTGTGTATATATATATATATATATATATATATATATATATATATATATATATATATATATATATATATATATATATATATATATATATATATATATATATATATATATATTGATTGCTTCTAAATGCAATTTAAAAATAATTTTGACTAGTTGCTGATTGGGGATTACAGTCTTAGTGAAAGCCAATCCAAAGTTCAATTTGCCCTCTGGTCTATCCTTGCAGCTGTATGTTGTTTTTTTAGAAAATTTAATAGTTATTAAATACTGTTTTTAATGTTTGTTTGTTTATTTATTTTTATTTAAATCCTCTATGTTTTATTTTTAGCCATTGTTTATATCAGCTGATCTTGACACAATGAAACAATGGCAAAAAGACATTCTTCTCAACGAGTAACAACTATTAATTATTTTCTCATAACATTTTTATATACCCAAATAATATACTTTCAATATAGCCACCTTGGGTTAATAATAAAGTTCAATATAGCCTGTGTAGGTGAATATGGGGTGTGGGATTATAAATTAACCCAATAGATATAATATAAAAAAATTAATAAGTTTAAAATATCTAAATATTTACCAAAAAATATTTTGTTTACTATTTTAACTTTTAAAATCTGTAAAATTTTAATTAGGGAGATAATTGCTGTCAATCAAGATGTGCTAGGCAAGATGGGAAGAAGAGTGTACAAAGTAAATTTACAAGTTTTACTATTACAATTACAATTTTATTTGTTGATTGATTTGAATTTATTTTACATTATGTTTAAAATTTTCAATTTAAAAGGTCAAGCTTTTTTTTAGGATAATAATCAGCAAAATTGGGTTCGATATTTGGACAACAACGCTGCAGCAGTTGCCATTATGAGTTTAAGAACTGACATTCCTGTTTATATGGAAGTGACATTTTCTTCAGTAAGCTAAATTGGATTTACATTTTTTAGTAATTGTATTGCAGATTTTAATTACATGATTTATTACTAATAATTATTATAAATATTAAAGTAATATTGTAGAGTAAATAAATTTACATAAATATTATTTATAAAAAAAAGTAACAATAATAGTTATTTCGATTTTTTTTTCTTTAATAATATGAATAGATTAACATGAAAGGTCCTTTTCACGTTCGTGACTTGTTCTTACACGAAGATCTTGGTGTTTTTAATACTTCATTTAAAGCAATTGTTGATCCTGTTGGTGTTGTTATGGTTAAACTTACACCAATGGCTTAATACCTTTTTCCTATTGTTACATTAAATGCAGTATTCATCAAAAGTGACTAACTCATGGTGCGCAATTTATTTGTTCATATTTTAAAATTTTTTATTGTAAAATTTCTCAAGTTTTCTGGTTTTTCATAAGTTAAGAAAATCCCAGAATGTTTTGTACTTTTTTATAATTGATTTTTTTTTATAGTATATATATATATAGTTATTATGTTATTATTACTATGTTGTAAAGATTTGTTTTTATTCAAAAATGTGCTTAATACAAAAATAATCTAACAAAATTAAACGTGTTTTAATTTTTTAATCAACTATATCATAATTACATTTACTCAACTTTTTTCTGGTTACTAGTCATTTTAAGTTAATTTTTTTTTCGCTTTATCTTTTCATTATATTTTACTTATTTGTTTTGCTATTGTAAATATCTATAATAAATTATGTTAACAGGCGGAGTCTGAAATTAATATTTAGCTTGATGTAACCAAATATTCAATATATTCTTAGTACCTGTTATAGTAATTTTCAAAGTGATAAAATTTTTTTTATTACGCCCCTAAATGTTTTTAAGAAATTTCTTAAAATTCAAAAAATGTTATGTAAGTATTTTAGTATTAAAACAAAACGTGCAATAACTGTTAAAGCATTGAATTATTATTATTAAAATATTGAAAAATAAATTATTAAAAAAATAATGAAAGTTAACGCGACTAAAGTTGTTTTATTTTTATGTTAGAGAGCTTTTGTTTAAGGCACTCTACTAAAAGGGTCACCTTAATCGTACGGTGTTTTGTTTAAGTATGTCTGTTCACAAAAAAAAAATGTCTTTAAAAATATTTTTTTTAATAAAACCGGAGCGGATGAGTTTTAAATTTCTCTTGTTAACAAATAAGATTAGAATGCTTTAAATGTTGTAAATGTGTGACGTTTTATTATTGTACGATGAGAGATACGAATTTCAAGCGTTAAAAGTATGCAATTGGTTAAAAAAGCAAAAACTTACTGTATCACTAAATGAGAAAAGCGGACATTATGGAAAAGCAAAAGTTTATATAATTTGTCTCTCGTTGATTTATTCGAATTCAGAAAAATGCATGAAATATTTGGATTACGCAGCAGACATTGAAAACCGTATCATAATTGTTATGTTTGAAGAATTTAAACCGGCAAAGAAAAACATTCTATACACAAAGTTTTGGCACAATATTACTAAAGATATTGATAGCGACACAAAAAAGTTTGAAGTTGTTATGAATACATTACTAGACGAAATAAATACTTCATTAAAAGGTTTGCTTATTTTCTTTTTTATTCAAATTTTTTATTTTTGGGTGTACGAGTAAATGGCTTTGATTAACATGTTTTTATTATTTTTTTTTTTTTCAGCATTTAATGAAACCAAAGATATAGAAAAAGAACAAGAAAAAGCAATTCTTCTTTATAAAGAGAGCCTATTGAATAAACCTTTAAAGGGTATGGTTTATAGTAATTTAAAAATACTAGTTTAACTTAAATATGCTCAGCATTTTTCATTTTGAGTAGTTTATCATGTAAATAATGTATCAGATAATCTTTTACTACATTTAAGTCTTGTTTTTAATGTTAGTATGAGTTAAGACATGCTCTATACTTAGTCAAAAATTTACATGGTCGTACAAGTTAAAAAATATGTTTTCTACAATCTGATAAATGTTTTCTTTTCCTCCAAGTGCAAACTTGGAAGAAAAGAACACTCTTTAAAAAAGAAACAACACTCTTTAAAAAATTGTTTCAAGTTTATGTTTTAAATGTTTTAGAAAAAACGTTAAAGGAAATACTCTGTAAATCAAGAGTCAATCAGCAACATGCTATCAAATTCTGAATACCCAGGGTCAATCAGCAAATTTCAATATAATTTTACCGACAATATTTTTGTTTTTTATCAAAAATTTTTTTTTTTTTTTTACGGACTATGATATTTTTTGAGCAACCACCATAATACCAATTGACTATTTACCGACAGAATTTTGTGTAGGAGAGTTTGACCATCACTTAATAATTAATACAAAATCTAGTTGAGAGAGAGTTTGACAACCAATCCAAAGTTTACAAATTACTTCAATTTCTAATTTGCAATTTTCAATTTCAATTCAATTTGCAATTTTAATGTTTGCTCTATATATATATAGAAAATACATTAGGTAGATGCTTGAAAATAAATTGTTGTATTATTTATGTGTTTCATTTTAAATATTTTTTAAGAATATCATTGGTTGACAGATTTGAAGCGAGTCTTAGACATTGAAAATAAAGTAGACAGGCTTTTTGAATATTATCCCTTCACAGACGCTGATTTGCAAACAATTATTCAAACCGATTACGGTGGAGGGAAACCTGCTCAAACATTTTTCGAAATGCTTCGTCAGCGAAAGTATAATTCACTTGTATCTGAGTTGCGTAATGTTTTTATTTGCAATCAGTTAGATAAAGCTGCTAAAGTGTTAGAAAAATATGATTGGAATTGCCGTATATCTGATATATCTTCTTCAGACTTTTCAAATTTGTCTGTTATCTTATCTCCATTGCCTACACGCCCTCAAGAAGATTGGATCACCGTCGCAGAATGCTTTGATTTAGGTGATCTTGTTCCTATATGTAAACAATCAAGTCGCCGTCAAAACTGTTATAGTCGAACAGAAGCTTTGCTTGGAATTATTTATATGAAATGGCCTAATCATACAATAGAAGATTTCATGGAAAATTTGGTTTTATGCAATCTTTGTGAGGCTGTTGATGTTATTCAAAAGCAAATTCAAAAAGTAGCCAAAAATAAAGTTTTAGAAAAGAAGTAATTTTTGAGTGAAGTCTTTTAATTATTCAATTTGATAAACAACGAATTACTGATGTCTTTAAAACGGTTTTTTGCTTACTTCATAAAATTCTTACGCCTTTTTATTGACGGAGGTTGAAAGTTGAAAATATTCTTTTTTCTTTTAAAGTAATTCTCCTCAGAAAGGTTTTTATAACACATTTAACTTTGCCCCCTTTTTTCTCGGTTTATAATATAAAGCTCTTTTTTTTTCTGATTTTATGGAGTATATCTATATAAATGGTTATATTAATATATATCTATATAAATATTTATATTTTTTATATTAATGGAAAAATCAGTCTTTTCAACTTTTTATTATCATTTACTTAGTATTAACAATAAGAATTGTTACCGTTGTTCATATATAATTTTTTTCCACTATATCTGGAATTTCTCCAGTATATCTGGATCTTTCTAATAATTTTTAATTTTTTAGGAAATCCAAAAAGTTATCTAATGAATGAAAAAAGTTTAATGCATGAAAGAATAAGTCAATCTTTTTTTTAAAAAAATGTCACAGCTATAAGTGCGTTAAGAGTAAATAAAGACTTTTTATTCTTTAAAGTTCTTTAAATTTTATTCTTTAAAGTTCTTTAAAACTAATATTTTAAAAATAACTTAAAAAGGTATTTTATATAAATTAATTGATTTAAATTTTCTTTTCGCACGGAATAAAGTGCTATTCCGTGCAAAAAGTAACTATCAGTAATGATCACTTAGTTGAAACATAGTCATGTTATTTAACTAGTCTAAAAACGCGGCCAGATTTCTAAAAACACTTTAATACTTTTCTATATTAGTGCTCAATCTATTTTAGAATGCATTAAGTTGTAAACATCATTTTTCATAAATTATTTTTATTTGCAAACTTAAAGTTTCTATATGTAAACCGATTCTATAAAGCAAGGTGAACTTAATACCCTTATAAAAATATTCCATGGAATTCTATGAGAAAACCATGGTTTTCACATGGAATTTCCATGGGGGAATTTCTAAGAAAATTAAAACCCTATGAAATTTCCACGGATAAACCGTGGTTTATTTTTTCATAGCTCATGTTGCACCATGGGTTTTTCAAGTGCGCGTTTAAAGATACCCGACGGGCATTTGTTTTTAAAAGTTACGATCTAAATGTATTTTAAATGTCTTTTAAACGTCTTTTAAACATTAATGTTTAAAACACATTTAGAACGTAACTTTTAAAAACAAATACCCGTCGGGTACCGTCGCAACTCCTAGAGTTACAATCATTTGTAACTTGAGTAAATAGTATTTTTTGCATTCTTTTTTTCTGTATTTAATAAGATTATAAATTATGTTTTTATAATACCTTTCAATTGGTGATTCAAACTAAACATTCAGACATAAACAACTAGACATATACCAGCGGGCATTTATTTTTAAAAGCTACGTTCTAAATGTCTTTTAAACGTCTTCTAAACATTCTTACGTAAAGAAAATTTAAACGACGTTTAGAAAACGTTTAAAAGGCATTTAGCACGTAACTTTTAAAAACAGATGCCGTTGGGATTTGCAATAGCTAGAATATGATAAATACATGCATTTTTTTAAGTGCATATTTTTATTATATTCTAGCTATTAATATTATTATTCATATTAAATGTGATGCATTAAATCTAATTTATAATCTCATTAAATACAGAAAAGTAAAATTATATAAATTTTATATAAATAGAATATTATAAATTTATAATGCATCATAGTATAATATTATCAGAGATGTAGGTCTCGAGACTTAAATCTTGGTACCAAGATGTCTTGAGACTCACGTTTAACTGTCATGGTCATGGAATCTTGGTTTTGGCCTTAGCTGTTTTCACAGCTCTGGATATTATCATATTATAAAATGCATACATTTATCATATTCTCGCTATTGCCAATAGCTTTGCTTACTTTACATAACTTGCAATAGTATGGCAAGTGAATCAATTTGTTTTTTAGTGTTTATTTGGTTTATTACAAATATTTTAGTTTTAATGTACATTAGATAGCCTGTGTATTAAATAAGCTTAGATATGCAGTAAATAGAATAAGGTTAGATAACTAATGTACAAAAGATAGTACTATATAGATACTACTAGTATTATCTTTTTTAATTTTTTTCTAATGGCTTTGGTTTGCATAAAAATATTACACTTTATGATAAATGTTTATTACTTTATTCACTTTATTCTAGGATGAGTGTTTATTAAGTTTTAAAACACTTTATGATAAATGTTTTATTCAATTTTAGTTCTGTTAAGTTGTTTTTGTCTTTTTGTTGAAGCGATCATTCTAGTCGGGATTTAGTTAGCGAATAGATCTAGTGGGGATTTTTTATGTTTTTTCTTTACAATTAAATAGCAGAGTTATTAGAATATTTAAATAATTTAATAGTTTGTGTATAAATTCTTTTATTTTACTTTATTGTTTTATTTAAATCGCTACCTTATAAGCCGATAGGCTTGACTGGCGATATATTAATGTTGTTCATCATTTATTTCATTTATAACATTGTCAGTTTTTATATCTATTTATAATTTTTTTAAATATTTTACTAATAAAAATGGTAAATTGGGTTTGAATTCATTAGAAATGATAAAAAAAAAGCATAGAAAGGCAGAAAAACGTAATCTTTGGGATTCAACTTGTAATAATGTTCCAAGAACATTTAAGCGGAGAAGGAAATGATAATGTTTTAAAACTACTACGGTAATGTTTAAAAATATAAGAAAGGCAAGTTAATTAATGCGCAAGATTTTACTTCACAGTTAAATGTAAGCAAATAAAAGCAATGTTTATAAATAATACACTATTATTTATAATTATTTATTTTAATACAATCAGAGACGTATTTAGAGATTTGGCGCCCAGGGTCAAAATAATTTTTACCGCCCCGTACTTCCCTTTTTAATATAAATCAATAGTATAGGTTTTATTAAAAAAAAAGCATTTTTATCAAATTAATATTATACTTATTTTATTAAACTTCAGCGTTTATTATGTTTTTATGTTATTATGACAATAGTTATCACAAATAAAGTAAAAAAATAGTTATATGATAAAAAAAATTATTTTCAAATCATAGTCCATTAAAGTTTACGTCGAGCTTTTTCATTGGCAAATAAATTGATAACATCATCACAATTTAATTTATTGGTTAGATCTGACTCAGTTATTAAAATTGCTAAACAATTTAAATGTTCTTCAGTTGTTTTCGATCTGAGGTATGACTTAATTCTTTTTAAAACTGAAAAATACCTTTCCGCTGAACAATTTGAAATAGGGCAGCAGATGAATATTCTTTAGGCAATTTCAACATATGGATATAAATCTTCACATTCATTACCTATAATTGTTGAATACATTTTACCTATTGTATCGGGAAATTCATCATCAGGCAACGACAATAAAAAAGAATTAAAATGAACGCATTCGTTACGAAATGTAATACCAAGATCTTCTTTGTAAAATTTCTGTAAGTTTTCAGCTTTTTTATAAATTCCAGTACTTGATAATTCAGTGATATTATAAAAGAAAGAAAATTTAGTTGTATTTAAACATTTATTTGTATAAATTTAAATTTTCACTAACCTGTTTATATGCTATTACTCGTTTATTTAATAAAATTAAGTCGATCTATTGTAACTAAAAAATGTATTTATTTTAAAATTCTGTCTACCATTAAGTTGTGCTTCACCTTGTTCTCATTAACCATTATTTTCCTTTTTTTTTTTTCCGCAGTGTTTCTTCTTGATATTTTAAACCGTGACTTATTTTTTTTATTGTTTTCATTTCATATAAATCAAACATTTCTCTTAGACTAGACACATATTGAATCAGTTATCTGTATAAAATAATAACAGATTCCAAATCAATGTGAATTGATTGTAATATTTTACTTGTTAAATAGAATCTTCCCATTATCTCACCTCATATATGAACCATTAAAGCAATTTCTAAGCTATTGAATTTAGTTAGTAAACATTTAGCTTCACACCTTGTATTAGGCTTTTCAGTTGTATCATTATTAATATCAGTTAAATTCAATATTATTTCATTTCAGTTTTTATTAAGACTAATACATGCTTCGTGCCTGGCTGACCATCTCGTATCAAAAAGATTTTTCAATGACACATTTTCTTGTTTAGTAAAATTATTTTTTAATTTTTCCCATCGATAAGTTGAGATACTAAAAAAATGTATAGGCTTTGAAGTAGACAGAAAAAGTCAACTTCACTTTTACAAGAGTTAACTACATTCTCCAACTAAATTCAGAGAATGTGCAGATCATGGGATAAATTGAACTAACGGACAGATCTCTTTGATGCGCGCTTGAAGTCCCGAATAAACACCCGCCATGTTTGCTGCGTTATCATAAGACTGTCCACGGCAATCACTTATGTTAAGTTCATGAGATTCAAGTAAATAATGCATCAGCTAAATCTTCGGCTTTATGTCCAGAGTTTGAATGAAAACATAAAAATCTTTCTACGGGTCTTTGACATATCGAAATATAAAGGATATTTGGTCAACATGTGCTATGTCAGGCGTGGAATCTATACTAATTGAAAAATATTTACTTTCTTTGATTTCTTTTATTACTTGTTTTACAACTTGATCAGCCATTATTTTGATGAATTCTTTATATATTTGGAATGGTAAATAGGAAGTTGAACCTTTTCCTTTATTTCCATATTTTTGAATATGTTTGGCTAAAAATGGATCGAATTCAGAAAGAAGTTCCAGACACATCATGAAATTTCCGTTTTTAGTTCAATTAAAATGATCGTTTCTTCCTCTAAAAGATATTCCACGTGATTACAGAGTTTTTACCACAGCTGTAACTCTCATTAATACATTTCTCCAATACACTGTTTCTGTTTCAATCTGTTCAATTAGTAATTGTCTGTTTATATTATTTAATTTTTTTTTCTATTTCTCATAAGTTGTACACAAAATTTATGATGCTTAGAATTTTCGTGCATAGTTATTTTTTCATTAGCTTTTCTCCTATGGAATTTTAATACCACCATGTAATCTTGCTGATAATCTTAATGATTTTTTAAAATCTGTATTATCAATATTTTGAATAAATCCGTGCATTGAAAAGTATTCCTTAGTCTCGTCATTTATTACCCACTTGCCAGGATCATTTCTATGAAGAATAAAACTTAGAAACTATAATTAGGTCTCCAAAAATTATAATTTTAATCACAATAGATATTTAAAATACTCATTTTAATAGTTAACAATTACCCCGGGTTAATAAATGAAGTACATATAGATTCATTTTCAGCTTCACACATTAATTTTTTATTTACATTTTGTAAAGGACAAATTTCATTGGTCCAAAGTA